TAGTCCATGAACAAGCACTTATGAGACTTAGTATCGAATTTATCTCTATTTTTTAATTCTATATGTATATAGGCAATGCAACCAAAAACTCGTAAATAAGATAAATTTACCTCATTGCCTGTCCAAGCCTCCACTGACAATCCACAATTCAACGGAACTGAAGGCCCCCTATTGATCAAATACACAACAGTATTTACTGCATCAGCCTAGAATTGCTTAGATAACCCAACATGTAACCTCATGTTCCTTGCACGCTCTAAGATTGTCCTGTTCATGCGTTTAGCAACTCCATTCTGCCTTGGCTTCTTTGAGACCGTTTTCAACCTTCGAATCCCATTCGCAGCACAGTAAGCCTCAAATTCATTGCTACAATTCTCACCACCATTATCTGATTTTAGGCACTTCAATTTTATCCCTGTTTCATTCTCAACTAATGCTTTCCAATTCTTGAAAACATCAAACACATTAGATTTATGCTTAAGAAAATAAACCCATGTTTTCTAGTAGCGTCATCAATGAAAGTAACAAAATAAGATGAACCACCAAGAGAAGATACCTTTGATGGACCTCACACATTGGTATGAACAAGCTCCAGCTTTTACGTTTTCAGAGTTCTTGCCACCTTTGTGAAGCTGACTTTCTTCTATTTCTTNATATTGGTATGAACAAGCTCCAACTTTTACATTTTCAGAGTTCTTGCCACCTTTGTGAAGCTGACTTTCTTCTATTTCTTGAGAACAAAATCCTCACAGAAGTGCAAATCCAGTGACTTACAAACCGACAATTTTTCTTTCGACATCATTACTTTCATTCCCTTTTCGCTCATGTGACCTAGCCTATGATGCCACGTAGTGCAATCAATCCCTGCTGCTGTCATCGTGATGCTACTGTAAGTACCCGAAGATACATATAGAGTTCCTTCCTTTGTACCACGAGCAAGTATCAAAACCCCCTTACTCATCTTTCAAGCATCTGATGTAAACGACGTGACCACTCCACCCTCTGATAACTGACCCACTGAAATAAATTTTTTTGTTAAACTAGACACATGTCTAACATCTTTCAATTTTAGAACCGTCCCATCTGTCTGAGTAATTTGCACATCCCCTTTTTCAACAATGTTGCAGGCTTCATCATTGCCCAAATACACTTTAGCAAAGTTTTCTTGCACATAGTTTTGTAGCTTATCTATGCGTGGAGTAGCATGAAATGAAGCTCCAGAATCTACAATCCAAGATTTACTGCGAGAATCTAGCGAATAAATCAAAGCATCATTATTAGACTCGTCAGCGATATTAACAGTATTTTTACCTCTTTGATTATTCCCATTCTGCTCCTTTCTTGGTGTTTTGCAGTCTCACTTTCCCTTCTGACCACAGTTCCAGCAGCCCTCATCTCTGCCACGAGATTTACTTCGGCCTCTATTTCTCGAATACGACTTTCCCTTGTCCATAGTTATCAAATCGTGTATTGAAAGACATCGTTTTTTAAAAATAGTGTATCGTATCGTGTATCATAAAATACGATGTAATTTTAAATAATTAATAATAAAATATATGTTTACAAATTTTTGGGTGTCTAAATATAATTTATTAACGTATATATTTATAGTAGGGGTCTAAGTGTTACGTGTGTATAAATTTTATGGGGTCTTTGTATAATATTTCAAATGTTAGGGGGTCTGTGTATAATATTTTAAATGTTAGAGGGTTTAAGTGATTAAGTAACAAACTTTAAGGGGTCTAAGTATAATTTTCCTATAACATAATAGAGACTGCTTGCCTCCCTGCTTGATTAGAAAAGAAAAAAAAAAGACGAGAGACTGGGAGAGAGGGAAAGATCACGATTGAAGAACACCCAGTCGAACACTCGTCGAAGGCTGAAGAACACCCTGGACCAGAGTCGAAGACGAGCAAACACCCAGGACTAGGAGGAGTCACCAAAGGCTGAAGAACACCCAGACCAGCGATGGCAGTGAACACTCAGAGCCGAAGACCAGCCAACCAATGAAGAAGGTAAAGAGAGATTTTTTTTTTTTGTAAACCCTAGCCACTGAAACGGGATAAAAAAAATTAGTCTATTAGCATAAAAAAATCATTTTATAAAAAAAAATTAAAAAAAAATAAATAGTCTTTGCACGTATAGTATCGTAAAAACGTATCGTGTATCGAACGATACAATGCAAAAATGATACAGAACTACGATCCGTATCGTTTTACTCTTATATCATGACGTATCGTACAATACGTATCGCATATCATACGATACTAACAATTATGCCCTTGCCCTTTTTATTGCCTCCCTTATTCATAGCCTTGACTTTCTCTTCCGTATTGAGTGCTGAACCTGAAACAGCATCTTCACTCGATGCTCTTCTCTGAGCCTTTTCTCCTAGTATCAACGCCACAACATCCTCCAATTTTATCTTTGCTGACCCAGAAGAATTGTTTACTGCCACGACAAGTCTATTCCAACTTTCCGGTAGACTTGATAAAAGGACAAGAGCTCTACTTTCATCATCAAAAACAATACTCACGGATTCTAACTGATTCGTGACCGTATTAAATTCGTTGATATGTTCAGCAACAATACTGTTTTCAGACATCTTTAAGTTAAACAACTTTTTCATAAGATATACCTTATTCACCGCTGAAGGTTTTTCGTTCATCTTTTTTAGGGCTTTGAACAAATCTGATGTAGTCTTTTTTTTGGCGATGTTCGACGCAATTGACGGCGCGAGGCACAGTCGCACAGTCCCTAGGGCTTTGCGATCTAGAACATTCTACTTTTCTTGCTCCATATCCGCTGGCTTCGTCCTATCGATAGGTTGATACAGATCCTTCTGATACAGAATATTCTCCATCTGCATCTTCCAGAATGTGTAGTTCGTTCCATTGAATTTTTCGATCTTGACTTTGTCTTCGGCCATTGTGTAAACCTTTGACCTCTTAACCTAGAGCTTTGATACCAGTTGTTGGGATTTAACACGCCTTTAACTCACAAACAAACACACACAATCGAAGAACAAACCAAGAACATAAAGTAATAAGAAATAAGAAAGAACAAAACACAAAGATTTTATGTGGTTCGACAATTTTGCCTACGTCCACGAAACTGGAAGGATTTCACTATTGAGAGAGCGGAATNATAAGAAAGAACAAAACACAAAGATTTTATGTGGTTCGACAATTTTGCCTACGTCCACGAAACTGGAAGGATTTCACTATTGAGAGAGCGGAATTACAGAGAGCGGCTATACACTTCAATCAAACCTTAATCAGCAAAGTAGCGTTGCCCTACGCACTGGGCTACAAAACAGGCCCAAAAAATTTTCTTCGGGGGCGTTGCCCTTGCTCAAGCTTTCGTTCTATAGACCAAGCCTCAGAAAATTTTCCATTAAAAAACCACGTAACGTTACTTTGGGTCGGGTCATCATCTGGATCACACATACAAACTAGATTCCACAAAAGGCCCAACAATGGGGAGTTGGGCAGTTCAATTTTTGACCATTTATGTGGTATCTTGTACATGAAATAACCAAAGCTCCATTTGTGCCCTTCTCTAATTAGCTAGTAAATTGATATTGTTGAATAGTCACCCTTTGATTGGAAAATATAGCAGGTCACCCCACCCCCTGTTTCTGGAAATGAGATACCTGATTAGGCTAGTAGTATTAGCTGATTGAGCAAGCAAAACCTAGAATTGATCCCCCAAATGGGCTGGTGCTCTTAATTTTCTTTGTTGTTCCTGTTGTTGTGTTGCAGTTTCCTGCCAAGCGCTGCAATGTCCTTGTAAGGACGGGTGACAAATATAGCAACCTTTAGCATTTTTCCAATGAGTCTCTGACCACTTGGTTGTCACCACTGTGTCAACAACTGTCATGGACTCGGCATTGGTGACTCAGAAAAATTGTTAGGAGGTGCTTTTTTTATTTTTTTTCTGTCTATCTTGGTGTATAGGACAAACTTGTGTGCCCGATTTCAACCGATTTCTTATGGATTAGAGTTTGTTCTAAAGCTTAAACGCTTAGGTCAGTAACATAATACCAGAGCAAGAGATCATGGGTCGATTCTCGTTGCTATCTTGCTAATTAAAAGACTTTCACAAGTTCGATTCATAATCTAACCCTTGCGTTTGGGAGCGTGTTAAAATGTATAAATGCTCATGCATTCTACTTCATTAAATAATCAAAGATTCTAATATTTCAAACAGTACTAACAGAACAGTCCCCATAAAAGTACCTTAACTGATACTTTGAAGCTCACGAGTAGATAAATAGGAGGGAGCTTCTTTATTCTTCTGCATCTCTCAAGCTCATCACAACATAGCCACTCAAATACTCCTGTTATTGAAAATTAACATAGAGAACCTCACACAAAACACTTCTTACTATATAATGCCAATAAATTTAAACTGCTCTTCATTCTTCTCTTCTGCATTTAGAGCTCCAACACCAGGTCTACAATGCAAGCAATAAAATTGGTCAGGTTAACAATATAATTTGAACATCCAGGGGGGCCATTTTTAGAGGATTCTGAGATCATAGAATTATGTATACGTACAGTCTGTGTCTGTTTTGATCCAGCACTCGTTGTTCCCATTTGAATCGCCAACACCAAGTGTGACTTGGCTTGTGTTAGACTGGCTCTTGATGTGCTGTATGGCCTCTTTTGAGAGTGGTCTCTGAGGAAATATGGTGATATACTCACCTGGGGTCACTGGGTCTCCATTGTTATAATATCCCCCTTCACAGGTAAGGTTGCTCTTGATCTCATTTTTCTGGGACTTGTCAGATTTTTGTGTAGCTGTTGAGGTCTCAGGATGGACTTTCCTGTGGAACATATGCAGGATCTGCGTGGCACACAGTGTAAAATTAGGAAACTGAAAATCATATGTGCTTAATTAAATGCATCTTCCAAGATTCCCTAGTTAGAGGGGAGAAAACTTAGTGGCATTTAGTGTTAAAATATGGTATGGAGAATCTTCAGTAGATTGTTGTACTAAAAGAAAAGGATAAAAAACAGTTGATTGCAGTTGATAGGTTTACTGCAGTTGGTAAAGCAAATTAAATTAAGGATTGGTGGATGAACCTTATGCAGTTTTCTCTCTGCTGCTGAAGCAGAATCGACAGTTCCTCCAGAAGCTGCCGTGGAGGTCCGAGAGGATGCGTGCAGCATTCTCTTCTTCAGTATCTTCTTCATGATATGGACAGCTGATTTATCTGCTTCCTTATCTGTTCGCTTCTCTCCCCTGTCGCATTTTGCTACAGAGTTTTCCTCTGCTAGTTTAGTTTTCTGAAACAACTCCCCAAGTGATGTTCTGTGTTCCTTTTTTCCCACTGTTGTTTCTGGCAATTCAATTGCTGACCCAAACAGATAGCCCTGGAGCGGACAAATGATTGCTCCATTCCCATTGTTCTCTGTGCTTTCTATTGGCTTGCCACTGAGAGTAATGGTGCTAGCATGACTGCTTCTTCCGGTGCTAACATGACTGCTTCTTCCTGTGCTAACATGGCTGTTTCTCGCAGATGAGACATTGGATTTGGACCCATCATCTTTTGTTTCAGTTCCCAGCACCCTCTCCAATTCGTCGCTAATTATCTTCAATTCATTTTCTGTTACTTCAGTTTCTTTTTCTGTTATGTTCTCAACAGAGATGGCAAATGTTGGTGTGGAAGGTTCAGTGACGATTGGATCTGTACCTAGAGTACCAATTGCAAGGAATCCATGGAAGAGTTCAGAGAGCATGGCCGGCGTTTCTTCCTCAAGGTCTTCAGCTTCCACTCTTGCGGCCTCTAGACTGGCAAATGATTTCCGAAAGTGGTTGTCCCGCTGCATTTTGCTTATGGGCTTAGTGCAATAGTTTGGTTTTGGGTAGTATTGTTGGTCATCTAGTGATGGCTGTCCTGTAAGACAAGTACAAGATTGCCCTGACACAGAACAAAAAACATGGAAGTAGCTAGATGATGGTGAGTTAGTCATGAAGAGAAATTTCAACAGGAGGGAAAATGCTTCACAAAAAAATTTTATGGCCAGAATTGTCACACAAAATGTTAATTCAAAAGATATGGTTTTATATTGGGTTTTAGATTATTTAAGCAATTTGGTCCTTGCGAAAGGTGACCTTCACGATTATTTGGTTAGTTTTCCCGGTTCGTCTGTTTTTTGATCCACACCTAGAAGCATGTAGAAATGGACACTTGGGCATGGCCACTGCAACTATGTGGGGCGATCCTGTTTCCAAGTATTCAAGCATACTAACTCTTAAGCTCTGTTCTCGGGGTGGCAACATCCCCCATCAAATCTTCAGTGATCCATCATCTGGCTATATATAATTGAGGACCCAGTCCAAAGATCACAGCATTTGTAATAAAACATGTGTGCTTCTGTGTTCATATATATATGAGCCATCCAACTTTGGGTTCCATGCATTGACCACACTATCGACCTACCTTTGCTCATGCTATATGCTTCAGAGTGGTACTGTCCAATCTGATTTTTGCTCGATGGGTATCCTGAAGGTGTTAGTTTGTGGTAAATGTGGACAGGTATAAATGACTTACCGATGGAGAAGTCTTTGAGGGGTTCAATGTTATTTTGCCGGAACTTACGGTGCATCCAACCTAGTAACTGCGGCAAAAACACAAAAGGATATTATAATGAGAATAGTGGTGATTCGCTTTATGTTCAACCAGAGGTGGACTTACCTTCATCTTTTGGTCTTCCTTCAGAGAGCTGAATGTTTGATCTTTGGGATGAGGAGGCCAGAGGGGGGAAGCTTTTAACAAATAACAATTAGCTGTGTTGTCCAATGTCATATAGGTCCTGCAAGCCTCTGAGGGTCCGAAAGTGGTTACAGGGTTTGTGTTGTCTCTTCTTGGGGAAAGGTCAATCATCTGGACAATTGGGCATGCGTTCTGGACCCACAAACAGATATACATCTGATCTGTGCACTCATATTCTTGTGTGAGGTTTTATTGGTTCATGACTCTGCATAATCAGTGTTGGTCACTAATTAATACTTGTATATTTATCATACCTATTTCATCACCCTTGGAGTGAGGGACTTGTGGCTCAATCCTTTCAATTGACGTGTTTGAATCTCGTTGTTATCTTGACAATTATAAGCTTTGCACTTGTTTAGCCCAAATTTTGTCTCTTAGGTGAGGGAGCGTGTTGATGTGTATAAACAGTTATATGACACCCTCTCTAACCTCATGCATTTTTCTGTCTGGGATGAAGATGGATTTTTTTATCTTCATGGCTCTAGTTATTTTACTTTGTGTAGGGAATATTTTGTGAATTCTAATATTTCAAAGATTTTATGACCAGGAAGATGGTTTTTTCTCGTTATGGACGCAATTGTTACGGCAGGTTCTCTTCTTGGTAGAGTTTTTTCCCCTACCTGAAAAGACCCTTATCTACTGCATCAATAAAACTGTAAAACTACTTTCAAGTCA